GGTTCATTCGTTTCATCATTTCATGTGTTGATGTTACTGTAGCCAGCATATCGCCGCTACTGTCGACCGTATCTGACCCATTAACATTTGTCGTGATCACACGTGGAGCTGTTGAAAATATGTTAGACGGCATTATACCGGTTGCTATTCTACCACATTGTCCAGCCGGTTCCAATAATGACACATTGGTAACGGCGGAAAGAAGACATTTACGGATCATTTCATCGACCATCGTACTAGAGACCGTCCCGGTCTAAAAATCTATTAATTAAATAAAAAAGAATATCATTCAGAAAAAAATAAACTGTTAGATAAATAAAATACGATTGTATAATGAACAAAGAAAAAATGGATCCGATCGTGAAAAATAATATCAATATTTCAGTGCTATTATTTCTAATAAATGCATACTGTAAATACTCTATGCCGTAAAAAATATATGAATAGAAAAATGTGTACTGTAAAGATATATGAATGTAAACATTGTATACTGTAAAAATATAGGACTTTCCATACCGGAACAGGATCTCTATTTATTAATTCTATATCTAATTCTGGTCGTCCACAAAAGCATGCCATCATGTAGATTTGATTAGCGATACATGCTACACATAATTCGATCTGAAATAAATTTTAGAAATATTTAATATTAAAGCATTGATTATTGATTGATTGTTCGAATACTGCAGTATTAGAAATATTTAATATTAAAGTATTAATTATTGATTGATTGCTCGAATTCATTATTTTCTTTTTTTTTTTAAAGAATAAAATAAAAATTTGATTAGCAAACCTCTCCATGCAAGTCGATAATTTTAGCATCGAAGTTAGTAACTAATAATCGATCGCCCGTTCGTTGCGAACTCATCAATCTTAGGTTTACTTCTGGTACACTGATTTTACTTTTTATAATCTGTAAAATAGAATTACACGTAACAAAATAATTTCAATTAAATTAATAAATGAAGTAATGAAACAGGTTAGAAATTATTTACAATTACAAATTGAACCAACAAGATGATCATTAGGTAATTGTTGCAAGCGAATATCGGTGATACGTGGCGCTTTTGTAACATTTTTATTATCGCTAAAACCTTCGAATAATACTTCAAATTTTCCCTGTAATTATAAATTAGATATTTCCTTCAATCAATAATTATTAATATCGTTGTGAACAATTTGTTCAAGCAATATTGAAAATTGCCTTTGTATTGCCATAGTTGTAAGAGATGGCAATATTGATCGATGAAAGTTATAATAAATGAATTAAAATGAGGAAATAATTTTATTTAATACGGGTATGGAAATTTTTTTAGCAGCTTCATTCATAGCAGTTATCCAAGCTTGCAATGTATCCGGTACGCGGTGCATATTATTGAATAACCATCCGATAATATCATTTAACCAATCTGTTGAATATTGATCATTATTCCTATTGCTGCAATTTTAACGAATTAGGAAATTTAATTCATTCAGCTATGATTTTTAATAATATCATTACAAGATAATAAATATAACATGGATAGATCAGTATCTAAAACATTTAATTCAAGTATTGCTTTTGCACGGAATATGAGAAAAGTACCATTATTAGCATAAAGAATTTAATTTTTTCTTTTATTTTAAAAGCATAAATCATTTAAATTTTCTTATCAGCATTAAAAAAAAAAGTTTTTCGATTAATTTCCCAACCTGGAAGCAGTATGAGATTTGATCATGGTATTATTTACCCCAGTAGTTACTGCAGTCTGAGATGTACCTACTTTAGCAAGCATAAAATAGCATAATACGCCCACGATAAGCCAAGACATGATTAGCCATGTCAGTCCATCCATGATCTTTTCGTTTTTGAAATGCACAGCAATTAATTCCCCTGAAACATTTTACTTACTAGCAATAATTGTAATAGAATTTTCAAATAATATTTCGAACATATTTTTAAACTATTAGTATTATTTATTGATATTAATATTAATATTGTTTTCATTATCATTATCATCATTATCATTGTTATCATTATTATCATCATTATCATTATCATTATTATTATCATTTCATTATCATTGTCATTATTATTATCATTAATCATTACCACCATCATTACCATTATTATCACTACCTTTAAGATAAAATTTTTGATAAATTATTTATTTATAGTGATAAAAACAATAATAATAATGGTAATGAATGAGCTAAATAATATATGGATAAATTATTGTATTATTTTCGCAAAGAAAAAAATAAACTGTTGGATAAATAAAATACGATTGTATAATGAACAAAGAAAAAATGGATCCGATCGTGAAAAATAATATCAATATTTCAGTGCTATTATTTCTAATAAATGCATACTGTAAATACTCTATGCCGTAAAAAATATATGAATAGAAAAATGTGTACTGTAAAGATATATGAATGTAAACATTGTATACTGTAAAAATATAGGACTTTCCATACCGGAACAGGATCTCTATTTATTAATTCTATATCTAATTCTGGTCGTCCACAAAAGCATGCCATCATGTAGATTTGATTAGCGATACATGCTACACATAATTCGATCTGAAATAAATTTTAGAAATATTTAATATTAAAGCATTGATTATTGATTGATTGTTCGAATACTGCAGTATTAGAAATATTTAATATTAAAGTATTAATTATTGATTGATTGCTCGAATTCATTATTTTCTTTTTTTTTTTAAAGAATAAAATAAAAATTTGATTAGCAAACCTCTCCATGCAAGTCGATAATTTTAGCATCGAAGTTAGTAACTAATAATCGATCGCCCGTTCGTTGCGAACTCATCAATCTTAGGTTTACTTCTGGTACACTGATTTTACTTTTTATAATCTGTAAAATAGAATTACACGTAACAAAATAATTTCAATTAAATTAATAAATGAAGTAATGAAACAGGTTAGAAATTATTTACAATTACAAATTGAACCAACAAGATGATCATTAGGTAATTGTTGCAAGCGAATATCGGTGATACGTGGCGCTTTTGTAACATTTTTATTATCGCTAAAACCTTCGAATAATACTTCAAATTTTCCCTGTAATTATAAATTAGATATTTCCTTCAATCAATAATTATTAATATCGTTGTGAACAATTTGTTCAAGCAATATTGAAAATTGCCTTTGTATTGCCATAGTTGTAAGAGATGGCAATATTGATCGATGAAAGTTATAATAAATGAATTAAAATGAGGAAATAATTTTATTTAATACGGGTATGGAAATTTTTTTAGCAGCTTCATTCATAGCAGTTATCCAAGCTTGCAATGTATCCGGTACGCGGTGCATATTATTGAATAACCATCCGATAATATCATTTAACCAATCTGTTGAATATTGATCATTATTCCTATTGCTGCAATTTTAACGAATTAGGAAATTTAATTCATTCAGCTATGATTTTTAATAATATCATTACAAGATAATAAATATAACATGGATAGATCAGTATCTAAAACATTTAATTCAAGTATTGCTTTTGCACGGAATATGAGAAAAGTACCATTATTAGCATAAAGAATTTAATTTTTTCTTTTATTTTAAAAGCATAAATCATTTAAATTTTCTTATCAGCATTAAAAAAAAAAGTTTTTCGATTAATTTCCCAACCTGGAAGCAGTATGAGATTTGATCATGGTATTATTTACCCCAGTAGTTACTGCAGTCTGAGATGTACCTACTTTAGCAAGCATAAAATAGCATAATACGCCCACGATAAGCCAAGACATGATTAGCCATGTCAGTCCATCCATGATCTTTTCGTTTTTGAAATGCACAGCAATTAATTCCCCTGAAACATTTTACTTACTAGCAATAATTGTAATAGAATTTTCAAATAATATTTCGAACATATTTTTAAACTATTAGTATTATTTATTGATATTAATATTAATATTGTTTTCATTATCATTATCATCATTATCATTGTTATCATTATTATCATCATTATCATTATCATTATTATTATCATTTCATTATCATTGTCATTATTATTATCATTAATCATTACCACCATCATTACCATTATTATCACTACCTTTAAGATAAAATTTTTGATAAATTATTTATTTATAGTGATAAAAACAATAATAATAATGGTAATGAATGAGCTAAATAATATATGGATAAATTATTGTATTATTTTCGCAAAGAAAAAAATAAACTGTTGGATAAATAAAATACGATTGTATAATGAACAAAGAAAAA